ACCATATTTCTTATAATACTCTTCTAACAACAGATGAAACTGTCCTCTGTGCCTCAGAAAATCCAAAAAGTTACCCACGAAAGGTAATGGTGTCGGTCCTGGAAGGTCWCCAACAGCAGCAATAATCGCAGAGCGTCGGAAAGGAGCGATTCCCAATCGGTAGACTAGGATCAATATGAAAATGGTTAGAGAGATAGAAAACCAATGCGTTGATAAAAATATCAGAGCTGCGTCTTGGARCGACATCTTTGCAAAAGCTTATACTCTGCACAAACTTCTACGCTCTTATTTAAGTCAGGTTTATGGTTACGTCATTTGCCAAATAAAGAAAAATACCACTCGGTACCACTCACTGATCATGATGACGTAGRCCAATAATATATCACAATTAAGTCACGGGTTTTTTTAGATGATGAAATAATTCAAGGGCAAAGTTGTTGAGGGAGGGGTGAGAATATATACAAGTCGGATATGAAACATTTCTTTCCATGCAACCTTCTTAAGTTGCTTTTAGAGGGAAATAATTTTTTGATTTTTTAAAATCATACTTTAGTCACGCAATGCCAAGTCATGCAATGACTTAATAACGCCCAAAAAAACACCGTGACACCGAAGTGACTTGATGGTGCARTCATAGCTGTACAACATGGCTTTCTTCAATACACTTCTTGTCTTCTTAACAGCAAACTGGTTCGCAATTTCCCTGACAGTTTGCATATCCTTTATTCTCTATATCTGGGGTATTGCTCCCTTTCGCCGCTCTAGAGTTCTTGCTCTCGTAGGTGATCTACCAGGACCAGCTCCATTGCCTTTCTTGGGCAACCTTCTGGACTTAATCAAGCTCAAAGGACAGACCCATCTGTACATTGATGAGTATTACAAGAAATATGGTCGATTGTTTACGATGTTTTTGTTCACCAAGAGGCCAAGTCTCTTCATTGGGGACCCAGAAATGACAAAAGAAATACTTGTGAAAGAGTTCCAAAGCTTTCATGATCGTCCGGTCAGRAAAGATTCATCCTCTTTTATTTATTTACATCATATTTTTTGCTAAATTCATTTCAATTACAATGATAATTAGGTGTTAAAATCCATTCTTCCARTTAATAATTCCATTAATTGGTTTTTATTTCTTATAAAAGCATGATATTGTCGCTTATCAAACTCATTAATAATTAATGAGGAAAACACAACAGAAATCACGAGMGTGAAGMGTTTTGTAAATCAGATACAGAGCAGATGGATTTTCTTGGCCAGATTCACTGTTATCTTGAAAATTTTAGYGAAACACAAAGGAACTAACCTAGACGTTTGATAAGTAATCTACAGTATTCGTGTCCGTATTGTATCCAATATACATACTGTCTGCTACACCTCGAGTTTGTATATCGGATACAACACGGCCACTCATACTGTATATATTACATAACCATGAATATTTTAATTTCACATGACATTCCAAATGCGTCCTCCCCCC